TTACAGTGATGAAGTAGCAATGAAAATACTTTTATAGTTGGGGGTCACCACAACATGAGGAACTGTATGAAAGGGTCACGGCATTAGGAAAGTTGAGAACCACTGATCTAGAGAAATAATAGAAGGGACCGAGTCATTGTTTTTACTATCAGCAGTGGAAGCCTGGGTTGGTTGAGGCAAAAGACGGTGAATTTTCTCTATGCCCTTGCCATGTTTGTGTGTAACTCATCCAGGATCAAAATATGCCCCCCCCACTCCCCCCAAAAGAGATTGTTTAAAGATCATTTCTTTTTAAAATGAAAAGACACTTCTTATGCTAACATTTTCTTGTCCCAAGTATACTGTGTAGATGCAGTGTACTGTGTACTGTGGAGACGCAGTGATGTAATGAGGGTCTGTAGCTCATCCATGTCAGTCTTGGATGAGAGGGATGTCAACCAGAGCGAGTTGAAATAAGGGTTGTGCAACTTTGTGCCAGTATCGAGAAGAGGCAAGATGCTTGTTGTTTTTTGATAGATCTAAGTGATTTTGGGCTTTGAAAAAGGTCAGAGATTACATTTTTATTTCAGGGGGGCAGGTAAGCAAGCTGGTAGACTTGCTACAGAAGAAGAAAGTTAGGTAGAGGGCATAATTAGGTGTGGAAGGAGAAAGGGAATTAGCTAGGCTGTGAAGAAGGAAAAAGTGGAAATGTTCTATCCCTGAATTTTGTGTCAAAATAATATTTGGATAAGCTTTCCTATTTACACTAGAGAATTAAAGAATTTTCTCTTCCCTCCCTGCAGTGGGGGTCAGCAGCTTCTTTGGAAAGGCTGGGTATCAGTCTTGCCTCAGCTGTCCTGATGATGTAGTTTTTAAAAAAAATCATTTTACTGGGGGCTTGTGCAACTCTTATCACAATCCATACATCCATCCATTGTGTCAAGCACAATTGTATATTTGTTGCCCTCATCAGTCTCAAAACATTTGCTTTCAACTTGAGTCTCTGGTATCAGTTCCTCATTTTTATCCCTTCCTTCCCCACCATCCCTCCCTCCCTCCCCCATGATAATTTATAAATCATTATTTTTCCATGTCTTACACTAACTGATGTCTCCTTTTACCCACTTTTCTGTTATCTGTCCCCCAGGGAGGGGGGTTATATGTAGATCATTGTGATCAGTTCCCCCTTTCTCCTCCACCTTCCCCTGTCCTTGCTGATATGACTACTCTCATGATAGGTCCTGAGGGGTTTATCTGTCCTGGATTCCCTGTGGTGCCAGCTCTTATCTGTACCCGTGTACGTGCTCTGGTGTAGCTGGATTTGTAAGGTAGAATTGGGGTCATGATAGTGGGGGGAGAAAGCATTAAAGAACTAGAGGAAAGTTTCATGTTTCATCGGTGCTAGACTGCACCCTGATTGGCTCGTCTCTTCCTTGTGACCCTTCTGTAAGGGGATGTCCAATTGTCTACAGATGGGCTTTGGGTCCCAATCCGCACTCCCCCTCATTCACATTGATATGATGTTTTGTCGTTGTTCTGGGTCTTTGATGGCTGATACCTGATCCCATCAACACCTCGTGATCACACAGGCTGGTGTGCTTCTTCCATGTGGACATTGTTACTTCTGAGCTAGATGGCTGCTTGTTTATCTTCAAGCCTTTAAGACCCCAGATGCTCTATCTTTTGATAGCCAGGCACCGTCAGCTTTATTCATCACATTTGCTTATGCACCCATTTTGTCTTCAGAGATTGTGTCGGGAAGGTGAGCATCACGGAACGCCAGGTTATTAGAACAAAGTGTCCTTGCTTTGAAGGAGTACTTGAGTCGAGGCCCAATGTTTGTCTGCTACCTTAATACTTAACATATAAATACATGTATATTTATCTATTTCCCTATCATTATATATAAATATACATGCCTGTATTTAGACCTTTATAAACATCCACTTGCCTCCTAGTTCTTTCCTCTATTTCCTTTTACTTTCCTCTTATCCCACTATGTTTAGCCTTTATCCAGGTCTCAGTAATTTCTCTCTGCTACATTGCCCTTGATCAAACCCTACCAGCCCTCCTCACCGTAGATATTCGATCCCTTGTGCCTGGGTTTGTTAACACCCACTTTCTTTCCCGACCTCCCCCTCTCCCGTGCC